TATATATGATGTGTGTTTAATATTCACATGCAATAGGTCTATACATTACCAAATATTTTGTAAATTGTACAGTAATCTGCAAACAAATAATTATTTACTACAGTCCGAGAATTTGACGTTGGCTAGCGGCACCCTTTGAGGTCCTGGAAGACTGCACTGCTCGTTAGTGTTTGACACCTTTACCTTTACGCACATGGTTCAAATTTATCGTTTTATCATTAACTATTATGTAGCAATACTGTACTGACTCAAATTGATGTTTATGACCACACATGACACATTTTCACACTCATGGTCTACGAAATCAGTTGCAATAACCAATATATTTTGTTTGCATTACTTTATAGTCCTATGTCTATTTTAGCTAGGTAGGTCCTTGCACATAGATCAAAAAGCAAAAAGCGTAAACAGCGATGCCATGGGAAACGATGAATGGTAAACGTTAATCACTCGATATTGATTTAAATTTATAGATATTTAAAATAATTATTAGGCCTATACAAAACAAATAAATAACGTAATTTAGGATAATACACGAGTTTTTTTTTTATGGTCCAGCACCTGTGGTATACTGTGCAATACGCACCTCGTCAGAGAGTTGGGTCTAACCTATAAAAGAAATAACGTAATTCATCCTAGCTTACCTGGATTTACATGAAGTCGCTTCATCCAAGGGTAAAGACGGGGCTGACTGTCGACTAACTTGGTTGCTTTTTGCGCTGTCGTCCTAAAAAACGTAGCCGCCGTATCAACGCATGATTGTGAGACGCTCGGCACTGTAGGTTGAAAGGGCGACTTATGGCTCCATTCTGTAGCCGTTCCCACGCCCGTACCACTAAATGTGAATCCTGTTTGGCCTGAGTTTAGCTGATTATAGTTACAATCAGCATACCACTGTTCATAAGATGGTGTTGCCATCGTTGTGTAAGGAGAATAACTACACGATTGGTTTGAATGCTGCGAAGAAAAGGGGGCATATTGACTTCCGTAAAGTTGCCCGGTTGGTATATAGTTCGACTGCGAATACTCTTCAATCGGTGGAAACTTTGGATCTATACCATGCGACGTTGAGCTTAGAAACGAATTCATGTTAACTGACTGAAACTTTGATCCCGGTTTGGGGAAAAATCCTTTTTGACTCAATATATATTACAGCACTTTTGGTAGTTGTTATGGTAGACAAGATTCTGCTCTCGAACTTGTCTGATGCACGTGACAACCGGCAGCCAATCACCAAGGTGTGAAGATAGCGCAGGCATTGAATCAATCCCTCCTATCAATGCTAAGATACGGCGCCACGGGTTGACTACAATTCCTACGGGTCTGCCGAGTTCGTTTATTTATGCATGATTTCTCATTCTTTTTCATTCTTTTGTGTTTTGGACAGCGCGTGGTATGTGATATTGCATAACAATAGTATTTTTCCCATTTTTGAATGTACAGTAAAAAATATATCTCATCATAAATTTAACCTTGAAATCTTAGCATGCTCACTGTTTTCATTAAGAACGCAATGGCCCAAGGCTTGTGTTGAGACGACTAGACAACTAGGGGGCATTTTCTATAATTCAAGATCGAACAAGGTGTGAAGTAATAAGTAACTAAATTATCACAGAAAATTATATTCGCATGATGTAAGTGTGCTACAGGTAGCGTACTAGTAGCATGGCAACAGTGACCTTGCTTGATGAGTAAAAAACTATTCCATTTCCACAATTATTTATGTCAGATAAGCGTTGAAAGCCTAACATATTTGTTTTTAATTCTTTTATTTTCAACCACACTCGCTATACGATACTCCTTTATAT